ACAGTATGCCCTTGTTCTGTTCAGGCAACTGCCTCTTGATCTATGTACAAGTTCTGCATGAGCATAACTAAGTGTTCCAGAATTCCCATTCTTCACAATGTTATCCAAAATCTGTTATGATTTACACAGTTGAATGCCTTTGCACAGCCAGTAAAACATGTTGTTGTTGTTGTTATATGCAGTCAAGTCGGCCCTGACTCATAGAGACCCCTCCTTGGGTTTCTGAGGCAGTATCACTAAGGAAGTAGGATTGCCCAACCTTCCTTCCTTCCTTCTGGTTAGCAGTCAAGTGCCTTAGGCACTATGCTACCAGAGCTCCTAAACATAGGTAAACATTTTTCTGGTAGTTCTCTGCTTTCAGCCAGGTTCCATCTGACATCAGTGATTATATCCCTCATTCCAGTCCTCCTTCAAATCCAACTTGAATTTCTGGTAATTCCCTGCTGATATACTGCTGCAACTATTTTAAAATTATCTTTGGCATAATTTCAGTTGGGTATATTAATGCTACTGTTTGATAATTTCTGTTTTTTGGATCACCTTTCTTTGGAATGGGCACATATATGGATCTCTTCCAGCTGGTTGTACAGGTAGCTGCCTTCCAAATTTTTTGACATAGATGAGTGAGTGCTTCCAGCATTTGTTGAAACATCTCTACTGGTATTCTGTCAGTTCCTAAAGTCTTGTTTTTTTGACAATGCCTTCAGCGCAGCTTGGCTTCTACCTTCAGTATCATTGATTCTTCATCACATGATGCTTCCTGAAATGGCTGAACATTGAATAATTCTTTTTGGTACAGTAACTCTATATTCCTTCCATATTCTTTTTTTTTTTTTCTTGTGGGTTTTTTTTTTTTTTGTGACTTTATTTACCTTGGTCAGATTGTGCTAACTTCAACTATGTTTGGTCTTGTCTTTTCCATCACCAAAAGTAACAAGTATCTACTATGTAGACAGTGATTCCTCTTCCCTCCTCATCTCTGGTAACCATCAAAGAACTTTAGTTGCTGTGTTTCTATCTATTCTTTATTTTTTATGATAGTGGGACCATATAATGCTGATCTATGATTAACTTATTTCACTCAGCAGACTGTTCTCTAGATTCATCTGTTAAAAGATGTTATGTAGATTCCTCATTAGAGTTGTGTAGTATTCCATTGAATGTTTAAGTTTGCTTATCCATTCACCTGTTGATGGGCATTAGGTTGTTTCAATCTTTTGCTATTGTGAATAATGAGCAATGAACACAGGTGTGCATATGTCTATTTGTGTCACTGCTCTGGTATCTCTAGGATATATACCTAGGAGTGGATTGCTGGATCATAAGGTATTTCTATTTCTAGCTTTTAGTGGAAGTGAAACCCTGTTTTCCATAGTGGTTGTACCATTTTACAACCCTAAAAGCAGTGGATAAGAGTTCCAATTCCTCCACAACCTTGCCAGCATTTGTAGGTTTTCTTTTTTTTTTTTAAATCATTGCCATTTTTTCCAGGGGTGGAATGGCATATCATTGTAGTTTTGATTTGCATCTCTCTAATTGTTAATGATCACAAGCATCTTTTCATGAATTGTTGGCCACTTCAATGTCTTATTTGGTGAAGTATCTGTTCATGTCCTTTCCTTCCATCTTCTTTTGACGATTCCTGCTTGTTCTATATTTTACCCATAGAATCCTTCAATATTGCAACGCAAGGTTTGAATTTTCCTTTAATTCTTTCAGCTTGAGAAATGCTGAGTGTGTTCGTTCTTTCAGTTTTCTAACTCCACATCTTTATACATTTCATTATAATATTTTGTCTTCTCGAGCTATCCTTTGAAATCTTCTGCTCAGCTCTTTTACTTCATTATTTCTTGCAGTTGCTTTAGCAACTCTATGTTCAAGAGTAAGTTTCAAGTTGAAGCAGAATGGAATTAAAATGAGTCCACAAGATCCAGTGTATGACCTTGGGTATATTCTACCTGAAGTTAGAAACCATCTCAAGAATAGATTTGATGCACTGAACACTAATGACTGACTGAAGACCATATGAGTTGTAGTATGGCACCATGGGCATTATACATGAAGAAAGGAAAAGGTCACTAAAAAGAAAAAATGAAAGACCAAGATGGATGTCAGAAGAGAGTTTGAAACTTGCTCTTGAGTGTAGAATAGCTAAAGTGAACGGAAGAGCAATTGATATAGGAGGTCCAATATATGAGGATTTGGATACAGGATTTGGGAAGAAAGAGGAGGGGAACAAGATGGGAGAAAATTATCAAATAAATTTTGCAAAGTGGCAAGATATAAAGTCAATATAAAAAGTCATACATACACATAAGCAATAAACAATTAGAAAATGAAAATTTTTAATTCTACATGATATTAATATAAGAATATGAATATGTAGGCATAAATTTAACAAAAGATATGTAAGACTTTTGCACTGAAAATTACAAAACATTACTGAGAGAAATTTTAAAAAGACCTAGTAAATCTAAAAATATACCATGTTCATGGATGGGAAGACTCCATATTAAGATGTCAATTCCCCCTAAATTGAGCTATAGGTTCAACTCAATCCCAATCAAAATCCTAGTAACTTTTTTTTTGGTAAAAATGGATTAACAATTTAAAACTTATATGGAAATATGAAGGATCTAGAACAACAAAAGCATTCTTGATAAAGAACAAAAATGGAGTTATTATACTACCTTATTTCTAGCCTTACTATAAACCTTCTGTAATCAAGATAGTGTGCTATTGCAAAAAGATAGACAAACAGATCAATGAAACAGAATAGAAAGTCCAGAAATAGACCTACAATTTCATACTCAATAGATTTTTGACAAAGCCATCAAAGTAATTCATTATTTAAAAATTTTCATTGACTTCTTTGACCTAGAGGTTTAGAATTCTTTGACCTAGAGGTTTAGAATTATGTTGCCGAGTTTCCAAATATTTGATGAGTTTTTAGCTATTTCCTTGCTATTGATTTCTAGTTTAGTTCCATTGGGGTTAGAGAACAAACTCTGACCTCAATTCTCTTAGATTTGACACTTGCTTTAAGGGCCTGTTTCACAACTTGGTTTTATTTTGCTATGATGGGAGGATAACAGTCCATTAGAGTATCATTATTTTTTTCCTGTTTTGGTTATGTATATGGTACAGTGTAGTGGTTCAACAGTAGGTTTTGAGTTTTTAAGCCCTAAGCATTATTTGCCTTTTTTTTTTTTTTTTTTTTGGAGGTTCTCTAGACTTTATAGTGATTTAGGATGCTTTTAAGGCCAGAAGTCTTGTAACAGCATCTCCGGGCTTCCTGCTCCCGCTCCCCTCCACTAATATCTTTTGTTTTGGGTTGTTGTTGTTAGGTGCCCTCCAGTGGGCTCCAAATCATAGCAACCTCAAGCACAAAAGAAGGAAACACTGCCAGGTCTTGGGCCATCCTCACAATTCCTTGCTCTACTGGACTTTTCAGCCACTATGTCAATCCTTCTTGTTGAGAGCCTTCCCCTTTTTCGTTGACCCTTCACTTTACCAAGCAAGTTTTGTTTTGGGTAGGGAGTTAAAATTGATTTGTAAGCACTGGTGGCACAGTGATTAAAGCATTCGGCTGCTAACCAAAAAGTCGCTGTTGGAATCTAAGCTCCTTGGGGGAAAGACGAGGCAGTCTTTCGGCCTCAGAAACCTGCAGGGAAGTTCTACTGTCTTATAAAGTCGCTATGCGGCGGAATCGCTATAAGTC